TGCAGGAGGAGGCAGGGGCTGAGGGAGTGGGCAGGGGTGGGGGGTGGGGGTCAGGTGACCTGAGGGCAGGGGATAAGCAGCCCTTTCCCCCTTGCCCCTCCACAGAGAGCTGGTGGAGTGCTTCAACAAGATAGCGCAAGACCCTGACTGCCGGGCTGTGGTGATCTCTGGTGCAGGAAAACTGTTCACTTCAGGTACCAGGTGCTCTCCACCCCCACCCCTGCCACTGCTCCTGGCAATGGAACAATGTTTTTTTTTTTAATGTTTATTTATTTTTGAGAGAGACACACACAGAACGCAACTGGGGGAAGGGCAGAGAGAGAGGGAGACACAATCCAAAACAGGCTCCAAGCTGTCGGCACAGAGCTCAACACAGGGCTTGAACCCATGACCCGTGAGATCATGACCTGAGCCGAAGTCGGATGCTTAACTGACTTAGCCACTCGGGTGCCCCAAACAATGCTTCTTAATTAAGGTTTTAACCAGCTTCTAACTTCCACTTTTATCTTTTTTTTTCTCTTTAATTTAAAATATTCAAATCTCAAAGTTAGTCCAACAGAATATGGACAGGATGATGGGCTTTGAAGTCTGATCTTGACCAAGGCCCTTAACCTCTCGGTTGTTGTTTTTTTTCATGTCACTGAAGTGTATTATAATAAGATGCTTTCATATAATTATTTAACACACACGAGCTGATTTCCAATTACATGTCTGTTCAAAGTTTTATTGTGCCACAGGACTGTTCTTCAGACGGGATCATTTCCCCTGACCACATTCACTGACTCCTTTGTCATCGCTGTTCTGCTTGTGAAGCCCATCCAGTGATCTTTTTTTTTTTTAATTTCAGATACTGTAGTTTTTGGTTCTCAAATTTCCATTTGGTTCTTTTTTATATTTCGCCGTTTCTCTACTGAAGTTGCGTATCTCGTTATTTGTCGCAAGCATGTTTTTCTTTGCACTGTTGATCATAGTTATAACCACTGTTTTAAAACTCTTTAAAGCTTACCCATTTATTTTGAGAAAGCAAGAGCAAAAGAGAACGAACAGGGGAGGGGCAGAGAGAGAGGGGGAGAGAGAGAATCCCAAGTAGGCCCCGCGTTGTCAGCACAGAGCCCGATGAGGGTTCTCGATCTCATAGACCGTGAGATCATGAGCTGAGCCAAAATCAAGAGTTGGCACTTGGCTGAGCCACCCAGGTGCCTGTTTCCCGATTCCAACATCTGAGTGACTTTGGGGTCAATCCTTGTTCATCGTCTTTTCTCTTGAACAACTGGGTCTCATCCTTCTTTTTGTTTGCATTTGGAATAAGTTTGGATTGTACCCTGGATATTGGACTATGGAAAGACGTGGGAACTTGGATGCTATCCTGGACCCGGCAGAGAGGGTGGAGGTTCCTGTGTTAGCAGCCGAGTTGGAATCAGTTTTTAAAATCTCTTGCTGGGCTGCATGCATGGTTCATGGGTCAGGAAGAGATTTGGGCAGAGCTTATCCACAGAATTTGGGGCTCCCCTCTCTGGCTCTCTCTTCTTTTCTGGAATTTCCCCCCACACTTTCCAGCAGCTACAGTCACCCTGGACTCTGTTTTCTGGTTCTTCAAGCACCACTTGCAACCTCGCCTCAGTCTAGAAACTTTAACAACCCCCACCTCACTTGGTGCCAGTCCCTTCTTTTAAGTGCTAACTTCCTAGGGCGCCTGGGTGGCTCCGTCGGTTGAGCGTCCTGACTCTTGGTCTTGAACTCAGGGTCATGAGTTCAAGCCCTGCGTTGGGCTCTGCGCTGGGTGTGAAGCCTGCTTTAAAAAAAAAAAAAA